AAGTTCCTTTCAGAACACATGCTTACCGAACCTGATAGCAACGACGAATACATCTGAAATGAATTATTATTAGTAGCAGCCCATTCGCCACCAGAGTTCACTTCAAAATCAATCCTTCCAACATACGTGAATATTGATGAGTCTAGTAGAAATGAATAATTATTACAAGGAGTCCATTAGCTAACTGAGTTCACTTCACCCTCAATAATTGCAGCACCTGCTAACAATGATGACCACATAACAAATCTATAATTACTAGGAGGAGTCCATTAAACAACTAAGTTCACTTCAGAGTCAATCCTTGATGAAAATCATAACAACAACAATCACATAAGGAACAACTAGTTACTAATAGATGTCCATTAAGCAACTAAATTCACTTCAGATTTAATCATTAATGCAAATCATAACAACAATAATCACATAAGGAACGAATAATTACTATAAGCAGTCCATTAAGCAACTGACTTCACTTTAGAGCTAATCATTAATGCAAATCATAACAACAATAATCACATAAGGAACGAATAAGTACCAGGAGGAATACATTAAGCAACGGATTTCACTTTAGAGTTAATCATTGATGCAAATCATAACAACAATAATCACATAAGGAACGAATAAGTACCAGGAGGAATACATTAAGCAACGGATTTCACTTTAGAGTTAATCATTGATGCAAACCATAACAATGACAATCACATAAAGAACGAATAGATACTACCAGAGATCCATTAAGCAACTGAGTTCACTTCAGAGTCAATCTTTGATGTAAATCGCAACAATAACAATCACACAAGGAAGAAATTATTACTATAAGGAATCCATTAAGCAATTAAGTTCACTTCAGAGTCAATCTTTGATGTAAATCGCAACAATAACAATCACACAAGGAAGGAATTATTACTATAAGGAATCCATTAAGCAATTAAGTTCACTTAAGAGTGAATGCTCGCCAAACCTGATAACAATGATGATCATATAAGTAAGAAATAATTTCTACAAGAAATCTATTCAAGAATCCAGTCCACTTCATAGTAAATTCCTGCAGGAGCTGCTACCAGCGATCATCAAATGAAACCTTGATAGCTTTCAAGAAAAGCTCAGTCAACAACTGACTTTATTTCGACGTGAATTTCTCCAGTTCGTGTAAATATTGATGATCACATCATTACTAAAGAACTATTATCAGGAATCCATTAACCAACTGAGTTCGCTTCACAGCGAATGTTTACAGCACCTGTTAATAATGATGATCATATGAGAAACGAAAACTTCTTATAAAGAGTCCAGCCAGCAACTGAGTTCACTTTGGAGTAAATGCTTTCGACATTTGTGAAGACTGATGATCACATGAGAAATGAATTGTTATTACCAGTAGCTCACTCTGCAACAGAATTCACTTCAGAGTGAACGCTTCCAGCACTTAACAGCAATAATGATTGCGTGAGAAATGAATCACAGTTAATAGCAGCCCATTCATCAACAGAGATCACTTCAGAGTGAACGCTTCCAGCACCTAATAGCAATAATGATCACGTGA